TTTTTTTAATTAAATGATTAATTAATATTAAATTTTTTATAAAAATAAAAAATATTAAATTATTAATTTTAATATAAATTTTTTAAAAATTTAAGTACACCCAACTCAATATTACTCCCGTGTGGATATGTTAGGAGTCTGTCACCTTTATCTAAAACCTAGATTCACCCAATATGATAAACTAGAGACTCAAGCTGTTGTAATCTGAACCCACCCAACCGGTCTCCTATGGCCAAGTCTATTTTCCTTTCATTTCATACTTCAATCCAAGGGCAGATCGAGTTTATTTTATACAATTCATTAGTTGTGTTTCTATCATATTAGTATTCATCGAAATCAAAATATCTTCTTCGCATATTTAGATTCCAACATCATGAAAAAGAATTCAAGAACTTTTCTATGGAAAGATTCCCAGACGAAAGGTTGCAAATTTAAAATTAGATGCTCTGTTTTTAGCTTACACAAGAGTGTAAAAATAACTGAACAAACTAGAAAAAAACAGAACAGAAGTGGGGGAAGCCGCTTCCATGGCTGACCTGATCATTTTGAACGAAGAACAGCTGCGAAAGCTTGCTACTGTGATTTACTACAGGGAAGTAGCGGCAATCAAAACATCCAATTTGGTTCCGAACAGGAACGCGTGAAATACCTTAGAGATTGCAGGAGTAACCACGAATCCATAATGGGGCTTGTGGACGCCGGTGTCGGATTGAAGGGTGGATTTCAGGATGATGAGATTAAGGATCCAATTGCTCATGGCATCTTCTCTTACGTTTAAATCTGCGTCAACAGTGCCCTCCAGACGGTCCGTAGCGACACTCTACGAATGAACCATTTGAAGAAGATCAAGTAACACAGTAACAATCTAATGGATGCACCGAGGAAGCTGGACCCGAAGAACTTGGAGAACGTTAAGGGTCTGACGATCGAAGCTGGGCAGTACAAAAATGCCATGCTGGAGTGTACCAAGAAGCATCAGAGCGAAGAATCGTGTTTCTTCTCGAAATGGGTCAAGGAGTTTATAATAAAGTGCAATGACTATATTTTAATAAAGTATAATTATTACATCCTTAATTTTTATCATAAAAATATAAGTTAAAAAAATCTTTATAATAATTATCCGTGTGATAATAATACGATATAAATTGACCAACTAACAACTATACTTAAAAAGATGAATCTACAAAATAATGTCTCCTCTACATATTTGAATTCTTTTTAACATATTATTTCCTCTATTTCATTTGAATTTATTTGTTATCATGAGTATGTAATTAATAATGTTAGAGGATTGAAGTGTGCCATGTACCCTCTAAATCTTGTCATTTAAAAGAAAAAAACCAATACCCATATATCACAATATAGAATCACACATAAAGGCAAGCGCTCTACACAATATTTTTCGTACACAAGCACACTACATAGCCATATATACACATGATATAACAGCTAGCAAAAGAGCACCCACAAGGCAGTTACTTTAGCCATATATGCACAGAAGGCTAGAAGCAACGTTCATGATACTCTAAAGCCGCTTCCCCACGTGCCTTAGGATTAATACACCTAAGTCTAGAAAAGAAAATGCACAACGTCGCCCTTATTTAATTATTTCTTAGGTAATTTCGAATCCCTTGGGGGCGAGAAACAAGGATTCCAACATAAAACTTCTAAACAAGATATTAAGCGTCTGGTGCAAGGGTAAGCACTGCCTCAAGTATTGGGGAAGTGTAGTCGCCTATTGTAACAGTTGACTTGAATCCATTCCTTGTGTTCTCTTTATAGAGAACAGTCTTGTCCATCTTCTTCAATGTATCCTCGATAGTATCCCACTTGTCGTTGAAATAATTAACTTCTCGAATCTCTGTATAGACCTATGTATAATTGAAACGAATAGTTACCATGTCAAAGAAACGTGGATCCAGTGGGAATATATATAAATTGTAGAGCATCACTTGGATTTAGGAATTCACCTTGTTGCCATAAGAAATTTTGTTCCAAGGGTAGTCCCAAGCCACCATCCAGTCACATTCATGTCCAGTCTCATTCTTGCCACGGTACACTACAGCTGCGTTGGAACCATCGAGTGTAATGACTCTTTTGACGTGGAGGAAGGCACCCCACTGGCCATTTGCAATCTCTAACGGGTACGGGGCAGGTCCGAGGTTCCCCCACCAGTCGTGGCTGGTAACAAACTTGATGCTGTCTCCCGTAGCATTGTAAACCAGACAAAGCGTTGAGACTCCGTTCCCCCACTTTTGCTTCAACTCCTCCACATAATGCTTGGCGTTCTAGTCCTTCTTCTCTACATTTTTGAAAAGCATAGCCACCTGCGCTCTAGCCCTTTTGTCTACCTGCTTGCCCTTATACTCCGGCATTCCCTTCAAAGTTCCATCGGTGATGGGGTTTCCAAACACTTTGTTAGCCATTGTACGTTCCGGTGGCTTCAGATTTCTGTAAATATACTCCAACTCAATCTCTTCTAATTAGAATAACAAAAACATAAAATTTATTTTACATATACTTAGCAACATTTGTGGTAACAATCAATTTGGAATTTTGGTAACCCAGCAAGAGCACAAGAAATCAATGGAAATAACAAAATACACAATATATATATTTATATATTTATATGTTTTGGCTACATCTTAATTAGAGCCTATGTACGTTCACAGTGAATCATTAAAAAAAATATATACACTATCAGTTAGTGAGAAACTCAATCTCATAAATACCATTATAAAAAATATATATACATATATCAGAGATACCAAATTCTAAAGTGCAGCTCACAATGCTTTCAAATTAATTCAAGACACTAAAAATCCAGAGAGTAGAGGCTTTTGTATGTCACTTACCTATCACTCTTGCCTTGCTTTTCTTTGCTGCTCAATCCGGTTAAAACATGCGTCTTATATAGAACTTGAAATTAGCTAACTGCCAAGCACCTCACTTTAATAAAGATTAAGGCTAAACGTAGTACAAAATTAATTATTTTGGTGGAATGGATGATCCAATTGAATGCCCATCCCCATTCTAGATTTTACATGCCTAAATATTCTTAATTGATGTACGAATCCAATTAAGAAGTTTGAGATTGAAAAGGAAGCTAATACATAAACCTTTTGGTTTAATGCATTTATTAAAAATTTATTTTTTTATTTAAAATTAAATATAAAAAAATTTTCAAGATACAAACATATATACAATATAGACAACATAGAAAACTAATTGAACTAGGTATACTTATATAATATTTTAGAAAAATGATATATTTACACAACAAACTGACACACTTTGCACCCAGTAGTTTAGCAAAATAAAGCTATCCTTCACTTGTCCAGAAAATGGTTTAAACTCAACAGTGACCACAATTTAACTTAATGAAGAAATTCTTTATCCTCTGTAAAATAACTTAATTGTCTCTTCCCCATCCTCCTCCCAGTGCTCATCGTTGATGAAAGCAACAGTGACGGCTTAAGTCTACAAGATCCCTTGCTCCCACAAAATTCCATCTTTCTTCTCTTTAATACCAAAAATATGAGTTCTTCAGAATTTGTGAATAGTGGGTTCAAGGAGATTTGTGGCTACAGAAAACTTAGCGATACTTGTTTGGGCAGCTTCGTAGTCCAACACTGTTGAAGTCCTCAACTGCTTTTACACCTGAAAATCCCGAGGATGTTTCCTCGGGGAAAACACGCCAACGCTCAAGTCAGCAATACTCAATATTCTAGAGAGAGATGCTCTCAAGGAGTAATTGCAGAGAGAGAAGCGTAGAGATTAATTACCTTCATCGGAGGTAGTTGTGGGTATTTATAGCCCCAAATACTAACATGCATCTGCACGCGTGAGCATCTCATTGGCCCACGTGGTGCTGCCCACGTGGGCATGTCTCCTTTTTTTGGGACTGTGGGCGCATAGTTAGGCCTGCTATATGTGGCCCAAAGTGGGTGTTGGGCCTAATCCCAACATTACTCCCCCCTCAGCGTTCGGTTGACAAACTGGGTCGAGAGTCTTGCTAGTGCGGTGTTTGACCCTGAGGATGAGGAGTGATGTTTTGTGTTCATGGCCGACCTCATGCACTACCGATCTGGGCGACTTGAAACCAGGGTGGTCGAGTTTGATGTGTATGTACATGCCGACCTTCTGCAGAGCAGGCGTGAGTAAGCGGGCGGTCAGGCAAGGCAAGCTCAGCACTGATCAATGAGCTGAGCAGATGCGCACGAACGATCTCGCCTAATGGATTCTCTGTAGTAGAGTGATGGCTAGCATATAGTGAACGGGCTAAACCAACCGACCTATATGGGCTGAGATGGGCGACCTTACTCATCACTGTAATATAGATATGTGGATGTAGAGCGAATCTGAGTAAGTTAGGTACGATCTGACGTTTGATGTTCGAGATTGAGGTGAATCTTTGATTTGTTATGACCTGATCTCTACAGATTTTCGAGTTTGAAATCTCTGGAAAGATCATGGATTAGTTACGAGCAGATTTCTTGAACTTTTCAAATTTTGAGTTAGGGCAGATCTCTGAGGAGATTTGTTACGAACTGATCCTTGTCACTTTTTGAAATTTAAATCTATGAAATCTCTAAGGAGATATGGTTCAGAGCGGTTAGTATTCTCAATCCCCCCTAATAAATGCTGGCTCAACGTTTGAAGAGACGTGACAGCTAAAGCCGGCGGACGCTAAATGCCAAGCAATAAGTACTTGCCACGCGTAACCTTTTGATTGGTTACCAGAGGGGCGTGTAACGTAATGATGGGCACGGTCGCTTAACCCCTCTGTCACCTCTGTCCTTGTTTTGGCATTTCATTTCCATATTCTCTGCATTTCTCTACGACGAAGGACTTCCAAAATTTTCAGGCGACACTTTCAGTTTTTTAGAGTTAATTTTTCAGGTAATAACAAATGGAATTTGTTAGAGAAGCAGGAGAACTCCGGGGTAACCAAGGTGCAGAAGGGGAAGAGAGCGTGATATCCGTAGAACCAATCACGATGGTTGTACCGTCGGAACTGCAGGACTTGCCGGAAACCCTTACGCCGGAGAGCAGTGCCAGTTTAGGCGCACACGAGGGCTCCGGTGCTAACCCTTCTCCGTCATCTGAAGGGTCGTCATCAGAAAACACTACCAGTGCAAGTAGCCCCTCGCCGGAAAGTATAGAGGTGGCCGTAAATGTACCCCCAGTTGCGGATTGGGAGAATAAAAGCATAGGTGGTAGGCTGAGCAATCTTCGCAAAGCGCCACATACATTGACGGCCGGATTTAGGTTTAGGGCGAACCTGCATCATGATGTAGCAAATTGTGCTACCTCCATTAAAGGGTAAAAGAGACTAGAGGAAGTGGTGAGACAGTATCATGTTCCTAGGACAATTTTGTTACGAACTGGCACCAAAAATGAAAGGGCTTGCAGTGTGTCAGCAACAGGGTGGATACCCGTATATGTAGACCACTTCGACGCCGGCCTGAGATCCCCGTTGGCTGGGCTGATTTTTGACATTCTGGCAAAGTACGAGCTGGTGTTAACACAGTTGACCCCCAACAGCATAAAATTTATCGTAGAATTTATGCTGCTGTGTGCAAGGTTGGAGATACCTGCGAAGGCCATTGTGTTCAAGTCGCTCTTTCTATGCCAGCTGAGTACCACACAGACGAGGTGGTACTACATTTCTGAGCGGGAAAAAATGGCAATCTTTAAGAACGTGAGGAATAAGGTGTCTCGTTGGAAGAGACAATTTATCTTTGTCCGGGATATGCGAACAGAGAGGGTTAGCACCGATTTGGCAGCTCGTCTCTCTTAGTGGCGCCTAGGGCACGCGTACATGAACTACCCCACACTAATCCCGGGCGACCTGGAGCTTAAGGACAGGATCACTAACTATGTGAAGGGAGAGGGGTTAGTTGATTTGGAAGCCCTGGTTACCCCTAAGCTGCTCGCTTTGCGTGGATTTGTGGATGTCACAAACCTGTTTAGTGAAGGTACAACTCTATTGTGAATTACTTTTTTCACGAGCTGAGTCTTATTGCACGTGTTTGTGCAGGAGAGATGAGTAGCATGCTCGAGAGACAACGAGAACGAGCTCAACGCTCACGAGGCAGGGGGACTGGGTCTAGCACAAGGAGGCAAACACGCTTTGACGAGCTGCCTCCTACAGCACCCCGCAGCTCGTCACAGAGGGAACAGGGGTCCAGCTCAACCTCACGGCCACGGGCCGAGCGCAGAGTAGAAACCGTTCCTACTGAGGTTCAGAGGCGTGCTCATGAAGACTTCGATGCCGAAGATGATGTACCACTGATTCGGCGCAGATTGAATGCTAGGAGCCAACCTGGAGCGGTGCGCTCACCTGAGGCCCTGCGGTCCAGACGCGCAGTGCGGCTGAGGCGTTTCCCCCACCAGCAGCTAGTGGGGGCCCCAAAATCGCATACCCAGAGGGCTTTAGCTACACTAAGCCCGACTGTCAGCTCGCTATGGTCCAGGGTATGCAGAGCTTCATCCCACCTGTGGACCGTCAGCACGCCAAAGGTTATATTCAGCAGCACGAGAGCCACGCTGCTATGTTGAAGATGATGGATGTGAGTATTTTGCTACACGAACGTGTTTTTGTTGTAATTTTGGGGTAAACACTGACTATAGAAGTGTTGTTACAAGCGCTAAGCTACTCTGTAGCTTTATTTGAGAGCGAGCAGGCAGCTCGTGTACAAAACCGGGAGCTAGCTGACAGCTGCAAGCGGTTGTCCTCAAACAAAGCGAGCTTGGAGGACGAGGTGAACCAGTTGCAGAACTCAGAGATAGCCAACAGAGCTGCATCAGTCGAAAGCCAGGCTGACGAGCTGGCCAACAAGGTCAACCAACTGCATGAGGAGTTGGACAAGGTGAAGGCTGAGAAGGAGAGTGGAATCCAGGTAGCCATGGATGAGGTCATTCGTGCGGTAGATTGCAGGAAGAAAGCTTAAGCTGAAAGAGATGGCGCGCTAAACGACCTCGACGCCCTAAGAAGGCGGGTAGCTCTGGCCGACCAGGACCTTGCTCGCGCAGAGGAGTCACTGAAGAAAGCCAAAGCTGAACACCAACGCTGCATTAGCATCGCGCGAGCTCAAGGCGCAGAATGGCTGGTAGGTGCTGACATGTTCCAGGATGTCGTAGCTGTGGCGTCCATGAACACTACGACTGAGATTTACAATGAGGTTCGTGGTAAAGTGTTGAAGCACCGGCCAGACTTCCCGATCAACGAGCTCTCATTTTTTGAAGGTGAAGAGTTCGATGCAGAGGGGAAGAGCCTTACTACTCCTTCTGATACGACATTGAGGCTCCATTGGGAGCTAAATGAAGAGGGATTGCCTATATGACCACCGTCTGTTCTAGAAGTAGGAGAGGAGTTTGAGAACCTGCCAAGGTTCGACTCTTGGGTGGGTGACACCCCTGTAGAAGAAGCTGAACCTTCAAGTAGTCCTCCCGTGCCTTAGCCCGTCCCTACTGCCATCTCCGTCCTAGCTCGTGCTGACGCATCCACACCCGTGGACTTAACGGATGACTAGACCTAGGCTTTTTCTATTTCTTATGCTTTGGTATTTTCAATATTTCCTTGTTGGAAACACATTTTGTAGTTTCGTTGATACCTCATGTAAGTAACTTGCAAGGAATACAATTGAAACGAATTTTGAAAAACTGTGTGTACTATTTCCAATAATTGCTCATACATTATTCAAATTCTCTAAATATTCAGCAAGAATACAAATCAATTGTAAAATTTTCTAAGGTTCTGACCATTCCATGTAAACGGTAACTAGCGCCCGTTCATATTTACTAATATATAAGATCCAGGTCGGTTAACTTGAGCAACCATGTATGGACCTTCCCAATTAGGGGCGAGCTTGGCCATGTGCGAGTATGTGTTAGTTAATCCGGCCTTACATAATACCAGATCACCAACCTGAAATTGACGAGCTCGGACCCTCTTATTGTAGAATTTTGCTACACGACCTTGATACGCCATGTTTCTTATTCGAGACATCTCCCTAACCTCTTCTACAAGGTCTAGGTTCTCTCTCAAAAGTTGCTCATTGTTGTGATCGTCATGCTGGCCTGGTCTACCAGATGATAATCCGACCTCTACTGGGATGACAACCTCAACTCCATACGCAAGGCTAAACGGGGTTTCGCCTGTAGCCGAGCTGGGTGTGGTGCGACATGACCAAAGGACTTTATTGAGCTCGTCAACCCAATTAGAATGTGCATCTGAAACACGCGTCTTAAGGCCTCGCAAGACGATTTTATTGGCAGACTTGGCCTGTCCATTTGACTGTGGAGTATACACGGATATCAAAGCTAGCTCAATGCCGTAGTTGTTGCAGAACGACCTCAGGGCCGTGGCTCAGAACTGTGGACCATTGTTAGTAATGATCCTCTTAAGTATGCCAAACCTGTACACAGATGACCGAGCTGAGCCACAAATTACACTCACAATGTACAAATGGCTTAAGCTACCAAAGAATACCTGCACAATATTGAATTGAACAAGAATTCTTCTATTTTCTTTCCTGTTGTTGTGGACAATGGTTTAGCTTCTATCCATTTGGTGAAGTAATCCACCGCAACAACGAGGTAAGTGCATCCTCCTTTGCCTTTCACGAAAGGGCCGAGCAAGTCAACTCCCCATTGAGCAAAAGGCCAGGGGGATGAGAGTGACGAGAGCATTTCCCCTGTTTCCACAAAGATACTTATGCTCAGTTTATAAACAAACATGAAGTTTGCACAAACTTTAGAATGAGCTCAAATACCTGGCATGTGAATGTCATCAGCATTGAACTGGCAGGTCGAGCACTTTTTGACGTAGTCCTGTGCATCCTCAACCATGGTTGGCCAGTAATACCCATGTCTCAAGAGTTTCTGAGCTAAAGTCTTGCCTCCCATGTGTGTGCCACATACTCCTTCATAAACTTCCCTCACGGCGTATTCAACTTCATAAGGAGTAAGGCAGCGTAATAAGGGCATTGAGGCTGCTCGTTTGTAGAGCTGATTATCTATCAAAGTGAAATGTGCCGCCCTGCGTCTGACCAACTTTGCAGTGGACGAATCTTCAGGTAGCTCGCCACTTCGCAGATAATTCATGAGCAGGGTAGTCCAGCTTGATGAGGAGGGATTTGTGCTTAGCAGCTGGCAGTCGACTATGAAATCGGTGTAGCTCGGGGCGTCAAGCACCTCGACAATTGTCGATCTCTGAAGGTTAAGGTCCTGCGAGGAGGCCAACTTTGACAGCTCATCAGCTCAGTGGTTATATGCTCTTGGTATTTTATCAATTTTGAAGGAGATAAATATTGACTTCAATCTGTTGACCACAGAGGCATAACGACTGAGTTGGGGATCCCTGATTTCACAACTGTCATTCACTTGGCCCATAACGAGCTGAGAGTCGCTGAAAACCTGAATGCTTTGTACCTTCAGTTCGGACGCCAGCTTCAATCCATAAATGAGGGCTTCATACTCTGTAGCATTGTTAGTTGTCTGAAACTTGAACCTCAGCGCGTGTTCGGATTTGAAGCCATCCGGGCCCACTAACACAGCCTCGGCACCCAATCCTTCCACGTTAGCAGCTCCATCAACATACAAAACCTATACTGGGTGTTCGGATGCCTTTCCTTCCATAGTTGCCAAGATGCACTCGACCAGGAAGTCTGCCACTGCCTGGCCTTTGATGGTTGTACGCGGCTGAAATTTGAGGTCATACTTGCTTAACTCGACACTCCATCCGATGAGCCAACCAGAGAGTTCCGGCTTCTACAGTATCTTTCTCAACGGTAGATCGGTATAGACAACAATCTGATGTGATTGAAAGTAAGCCCTCAATTTACGAGCTGTGTACACCAAGGCAAAAGCAGCCTTTTATGCTAATGGGTAATTCAGCTCAGCACCTTGTAAAACCTTGCTCACATAGCAGATAGGCTTATGATTCTTGTTCTCTTCCCTTAGCAGAACCGAGCTCACTGCTTCCTTCGTAACCCCCAGATACTGGTATAAACTCTCCCCCTCAACAGGCTTGGAAAGCAGAGGTGCTAACGCCAGATACTGCTTAAGCTCGTCAAACGCCTGTTGACATTAAGTTCTTGGGCTCTCGCAATGCTTTAAAAAATGGGAGGCATCTTTCGGCCGACCTGGCGATGAACCTATGCAGCGCGGCTACACGGCCCATCAAACGTTGCACATCTTTGACAGTCCTGGGCAGCTCCATCTGCTGAACGGCCTAGACCTTCTCCGGATTTACTTCAATTCCTTTCTTGGATACCACGTACCTTAGGAATTTTCCTAACTCTACAGCAAATGTGCATTTTAAGGGATTTAGCTTCATTTGAGCTCGGTGCAAGTTTTGAAAGGTCTCACTCAGGTCGCCTATGTGATTTTCAGCTCGTACACTGGTGACTATCATGTCATCCACATATACTTCTATGTTTCTGCCGATCTGGAGCTTAAATATGATTTGCACCAGCTTCAAATATGATTTGCACCAGCTTCTGATATGTGGCACCAGCATTTTTCAGGCCAAACGGCATCATGACATAACAGTAGATAGCGTCACCAGCATAAAAAGCTGTTTTCTCCTGGTCGTCCAACAGCAACTGAACCTGGTGATAACCCGAACTGGCATCAAGAAAGCTCATCCGCTCATGCCCTGCTGCCCGCTCCACTAACTTTTCAACATTCGGCAAGGGATGAGGGTCTTTTGGACACGCCTCATCCAAGTTGGTAAAATCAATGCACATCCTCCACCTGCCATTTGGTTTCTTGACGAGCATGGGGTTGGACACCCACTCAGAGTATTATACTCTTTTGATGAAGCCTGCTTGTAATAATTTTTGTATTTCATCATCTATGGCAGCTTGCTTCTCTGTACCAAAAAGACGACGTTTTTGAACCATTAGCCTTCTGCTGGGGTCTGTACTGAGCTTATGGACTGTCAACTCTGCTGGAATGCCAAGCATTTCATCCATAGTCCACGCAAACACATCCTGATTAACCCTCAAAAACTCCAGAAGTTCTGCTTGTTCTTCTTCTGTGAGCTTAGTGCCAATCTTGACTGTTCTTTCAGGCACGTCAGGGTTTAAATGAACTGTTTCTACTGGCTCTACTGGCTCTACTTTCTGCTCGACACCCTCAGGTCTATACTCAATGTCCGATAGGCTCATTGTCTGTTTGTCGGGCTGAGTCGGCCTACTACTTTCGAAGGAGCCTCCCAGGGCTGCGGCGAGCTCAACCTTCTTAAATGTATCTTGATAACATGCCCTGGCCATCTTCTGATTCCCCCTTAGCACTCCTACCCCCTGAGGTGTTGGGAATTTCATGCAAAGATGGGGTTGTGAAATAACAGCCTTCAGCTCGCATAGAGTAACCCTCCCTAATATGGCGTTAAAAGCTGACTCCATCTTGACTACCAGAAAGCTAACATAAGCCATCCTAAAGCACGGTTATGAGCCCACATAGATGGGTAGAGTAATGACTCCTTCAACCGGGATGGGCTGATTATCGAACCCATAGATGGGCCCTTCATACTTCTGTAGTGAACTCGGATTCAACTACATCTTCTTGAAGCAGCTCCAATAAAGGATATCTGGCGAGCTACCCGTATCAATAAAGACTTTGTTGACGTTATGATTGCTTATATGGACCGTTGCCATAAATGGATCTGCGTGGGGCATCATAACGTCGGGCTCTCCATCTGCTCGCATGTAATCGGCCGAGTTGAATGTGATGGCTGCATTCTCCGCCTCCTCAAACAGCCGCTTCAAGGGCCTGTTTTTGTTGACGATTATCACCTACCGGGCATATGCCTTGCGGGTCCGGGCACTTTGGCCCCTTGAGTGCATACCACCGGAGATCATGTTGATTGTGCCAGACGGCGGGGGTATCACACTGCACCCAACTCCTCTCCTGTCTTTTTGGTTCTGGGTGGCAGGTATTTGACCTTGGCCTCGCCTATTGAATTGGCAGCCCCTATACGCTCTGCCTTGCTCAGAAGGATATTGGTTATCTTGATACATGTCCTGTGTGTTGCCGAGTTGGTACCTCTGCCCCTGAGGTCGGTCATACCCCTGCACAAAATGATTTGGAGTTGGTTGCTGGGTATGAGGCTTCTAGACATATCCTTATAATTTCCCATTGCGAGCTAAGAACTCCAGCTCATCCTTTAAATGCTGGCAGTCTTCTGTATTGTGGTCGTACACACGATGGTAGTCACAATGTTTACTCTTATCTGCTCTCGGGGAATCGTGCAATGGGGGCGGTGGTCTTCTGATCCAATGCTATATTTGTGCTAGAATTTGAGACCTCGGCAAGGTCAAAGGGATGTATTTAGCATATTTCGAGAATTCAGCTGGCTTCCCCCATGGCTCATTAACTTTCTGCTTTTTCTTTTCCTCCCTTCTCGGTAGCTGCTCGTTGCCTTTGCTCTGTTTGTCATCAGCTCGTCGCTTGGACGACTGGAAGTCTTCTGACAGTATGAAGCTAACCGACCTGTCATTGACTTCGTTCCACGTCTTTGGTGGATTTTCCAACAGGTCATCTAGGAACCGGCCACGTTTCAGACCATGCAGCAGGGCAGACAAGTAGATGGTGTCAAGGACATTATCTATGTCTAAAGTAGCTTTGTTAAATCGCTGCATGTAGTCCCTCAAAGATTCCCCCTCTTTCTAGTGAACTTACATCAGCTCGGTCGCCATGCGTTTAATCTCCCTTTGGCTTGCAAATTTGTTGGAGAATAGCTTGGCGAGCTTGGAGTATGAGTCTATGGAGTGTCTGGGGAGTTTATGGTACCATCTTCTGGCTATTGACTTCAGGGTCGCTGGGAACACTTTGCACATCATGGCATCATTGGCATTTTGGATTCTCATGATGGCCTGATAGGTGTGTAGATGTTCATCTGGGTTACCCGAGCCATCATACGTCTCTAAGTGGGGGATTTTGAACCCCTCTTGATATGGTTCCGCCGTGATGGATAGATTTAGTGGGGCACTATCCAAATCAAGAGTTTGTTGATGCGACCTAGGGCTTTTCAGCTCGTCGATGGATTTTTGTACGTCCCGTAGCTGCCTTTCAAGGTCTGCATTCTTTCTTATCAGTTCTTCGCTGTGTTTTGACGAGCTAGGCTCGTTGTTCAACCTCCCACTTCCCCTTGGTTTGGTTGGCACTACTACATTGCTCAAAGCAGGGGAGTTTCGAGTGGCAACAACCGCAGCTGGTTGTGCATCCCTGTTCAACAAAGGAATCAGGGGGTCATCAGGGATCAGGCGGGCAAGGATTTTACCCATTGCCATTTCGAGAACTCTGGTTCTCTCTTCGAGCTCGGCTGTTCGAGCAGGTTCCGTTGACCTTTCAGGTCGTTCATGCTGTGGATTGTACGGTCTAGAATGTCTTTGTCTTGTTCCTGTTGGAACTTGGAACTGTTCAGGCTGGGTTGCATACCCAGTTGGTGTTCTTTCATCCTCCTCCGTTTCACTTAGTTGATCCTGTTCTATTCCCCCGACAAAAAGGTTCCTTGGCATTGGCCTAAAGTCATTCAAGCCGGGCTTAGATAGTTGAACGTCCTTCTGTTCGTCCATTTCATTTCTTGGAGGGCGACCTCCTGTAAAAGTACGAACCATTTTGTCTTTCAGCAGGTTAAGCTACACAACTTCTTGTTCAAGTTCCCACAGACGGTGCCAAATGTTTGGGCAGCTTCATAGTCCAACACTGTTGAAGTCCTCAGCTGCTTTTACACCTGAAAATCCCAAGGATGTTTCCTCGAGGAAAAGACTCCAACGCTTAAGTCAGCAATACTCAATATTCTAGAGAGAGATGCTCTCAAGGAGTAATTGCAGAGAGAGAAGCGTAGAGATTAATTACCTTCATCAGAGGTAGTTGGGGGGTATTTATAGCCCCAAATGCTGACATGCATCTGCACGCGTGAGCATCTCATTGGCTCACATGGTACTGCCCACGTGGGCATGTCTCCTCTTTTTGGGACTGTGGGCACATAGTTGGGCCTGCTATATGTGGCCCAAAGTGGGTGTTGGGCCTAATCCCAACAATACTCAAAAGAAAAAAATTAACATTTTCAAATCTTGGTAAAAAAGAATCAGATTAAAGCTTTTTGGGTTGCAAAAAAATAAAATAAAATAAAACTTTCTAGTGATGGGATTTTGGAGAAAAAGCAACTTGGTGCTTAAATTCGCCTAAATCCTATTCACCTAAATCCTCATCGCCTAATTGGCCACCTTCTGAGATGATGACAACTGGATCTACTTCTCTCTTTCTCCCACGAAAGCAACTAGGTTACAACCCTCTAAAAGATTGTTCAAATACGCAGAGGAGAAGATATCACCCCCAAAATTTCCCTGGCAAGACTTCTTCTTATAGGTTGTTTGGAAACAAGAATATCACCCTACATAAATGAATGGATGCTGGGCCAGGTATTTCCACCTCTTATTGCATATCGGTCAAAAATATCACTTTAAACATGACGTGCCCTACAAGGTATTGAATCGGTGGATAAACCTATCATAATTTTATATTTTAATGATTGAATTGACTAGATATAACTTTAAACATGACGTGTCCCACTGGGTATTGAATTGGTGGATAAACCTATCATAATCTTATATTTTAATGATTGAATTGACTAGATATTGATGTGTGTTGAACTAAAAGATGTTTAAACCACTTTCTAGTAGGAACATAACAGCATTTTATACCAACCAAATTAAGAAAGTGGAAAAAGGATGTTAGCGTTTTGAGGATGGTGGAAATGCAACATTGTCTTTCTACCAACTAGGCTTAGCAATTTTGGCCCGATCCGTTAATCCACTGGTGACCCACCCATTTAAAACAGATTAGGCTCAAACATTCCTAACCTATGAGCCATTAATAATCCCTTTAGAGAACTCATTTGGTCACGAGTCAATAATAGGTTAACATAATAGGCCAATAAGTTGACTTGGTTGACTCATTGTTTTAATCTAATAATTTATTTTATTTTGTTAAAATAATCAAATAATTGAAAACAATTTCTACCCTAAAATATGCACTTTGGCCACACACTTCACGACTCATTTCCACCAAGAAGAGCAGAAATCACAGCAAAAGCAAAACTAGAATAACGGAGAAGGAAGGGATTCAACAATGGAATCAACATCGTCTCCAATGTCATTGTGCAACTCTTCGTCCTCGTCTTGACCATCCTCGTCTACGTTCTCTCATCTCGCGGTGATGACACTCAAGGGGAAAATCGTGGAGTCGCATTATGCTTATTATCAACAAAACCAACTACGGTGCTTCCATGTAAAAGGTTGAAGCTCTTTTTTGGTGTTTCTATTTTAATTAAAAAATAATAATTCCTCAACTTTAAAAAGTCCATTTTTATCCTTAAAATTTGACCTCTTTCTAATCTCCCTGCTATCTTTTTCCATAAATGTCGTATTTGATAATAAAAATTTTAAAACAAAGAGAGTAAAAATGGTGTTTTTTTTTTAAAGTAAGAGAACTAAACATGGATTTTTTTTAAATAAAAAGATTAAAAAAAAGAGCTTTTTTTAATCCTTTTCCAGTTCCTTTACTTTAAAATTTTCATCATTTAGCATACCATATATGTAAAAAGTAACATGAGGAATAAAAAGAGATCATATTTTAAGTTTTAGGGACAAAAAAAAAAAACTTTTTTAAGTAGAGAGATTAAAAAAAATTTTGTTAAAATAAAAGGACCACAATGAGGTTTTAACCAATGTAATACTATAAGAATATGACTACAAGCATAACTAGATATCTATAGCTACACTACATATACTTACACTTTTTTATATGTAGGTATAAGCCTTGAGAGAGCAATACCTACTATTTTTTGCCATATAGTTATGCGTTTTTGTCCATAGCTATATTGCAAAATTGTTGCAGTGATTAATGATGTTGTTGAATAACTGAGAGTACTCGACTATAGGATTTGGTATTCCCAATTTTACGTAGATGTCTTACTGATTTTTTTTTTTTATATGTTAAATGAATAATTATATAATAGTGGATAACTCTTCCCTTTTCTTACTCTTCCACACATGTTCTAACATTTTAAATTCAAGATTTTTAGTTTAAATTCTTAAATTTTCCCCCACTCATAACAGCCTCAGCTGTGATGTCTAACATTTTACAATAAAATGTTCAGGGAAGTGCATTATTCTTATAAATTCAAGATTTTTAGTTTAAATTCTTAAATTTTCCACCACTCATAACACCCTCAGCTGTTACGTCTTACATTTTATAATAAAATGTTCAGGGAAGTGCATTATTCTTATAAAGAAAATAATGGTTACATTTTATAAAGTTACACACAAAAAATTTTCGTTACTTATGCCGTTAAAGTTAATAATTTTCATTATTTATGTTGTTAAAATTGATGGGTTCCATTAATTGTACCGTTAAAATTAACGATTTTTGTTATATACTGACAATTTTCATTAATGTGTAATAAAATATGTAACTGTACAGGATGTATATATTATTGTCTTTCTTGAAATTAGGGGATAGCTCAATCATCCAAATAAAAAAAATAGTGAAATTAGTACTATTGTGAAACCCTCAATTTCGTTAAACAAATCTGTTAACATAGCGTCCGTATGTAGAAGAACTAGGAATCTTTTTTTTCGTTTTTTCTTTCTTTACATTGAATAATTAGTTATTTGTATAATAGAGGTTAAAATCCTTACTTTGACCTAAAATTAGAGTTTTTTAATTAATAGACTAACTTAACTATACTCTCGTTGGTATTAAGAATTTGTTAAACTCAAG